TGCAGGCTCAATCCCCAGTGTGGGGCATGCAAGGAGGCAGCTGATCAATGATTTTTCTCTCATCAAGGATGTTTCCATCTCTCTCTCTTCCTCTTCCTTCCTCTCTGAAGTCAATAAAAATTAAAATAAATAAAAATCCAACTCATAGAGACTATTAGAAAAAGAATTTATAACATAGGATCATTGGTTGGCCTCAGGAAGACCTATGAAAATATAAATATATCCACACACAAATAATTTCCAGCCCTGAAGAAAAATCCATAGCTTTCATCAGAAATAGTTCTTGACAGCCCTGCCATATGGCTCAGTTGGTTGGAGAGTCATCCCAATGCACCAGGGTTGCGGGTTATATCCCAGATAAGAGGAATCAACCAGTGAATGTATACAAAAGTGAAACAAATCAATGTCTCTCTCACCTTCTCTCTCTTCCTTCTTCTCTCTAAAATAATCAATTAAAATTTTTCTTTAAAGAAATAATTCTTGACAACTAAACTATAGAAAACCAATCATTTACAACTGCCTGAAATTTGGCTGAATAGAAGTCTTATAATTATGGATTTAAAGAGGAAGCCACATGAGACTGGTAGGAAGGTCAAAGATGTGGAACAGACTGTTCCCACACTCACATGTAGTGATTAAAAATTGAGAGGAATATCTCATTTCCAAAGGTTGACCCTAAATTGCAAGGGGTCCCAGCCCCAATCCAAGCCCTCAGCCCAGGGTTCCAATGCCAGAAAAAGAAGTCCCCATATTTTCTGGCTATGAAACCAGCATGGATTGCAGCTGAGGAAGACAGAGGTTACTGGAATCCCAGGAAGTTCCTCTTAAAGGGCCTGTGCACAACTCCCTCCTTCTGAGCTTCAGCACTGGAGCAGCAGCTTGAAAGGCACCAGAAACATATGGGGAGGAACTGAGTTGTCTGCCATCAGAGCAAGAGCTAGAGGGGCAGCTTTCTCCTGGATGGAAGTGCTACCAGGAGCCATTGTTCCTTTTTGAGAAGCCCCAAAATCTGGCAGGCTGGCTTGATGATACAGCCTATATCAATCTGGATCACACTACTTACCCCACCCTGGAGAGTCCCTGAGACCCTGCCCCACCCAACTTGTGGGTCCACCAAAGTTGTTTCCAGTGGCTTTTCCCATATGAATGGCCTGTCTTGGCTCATGCATCAGACTTTCCTAAAATCTCTCAAACAAGAATCATCTGGCCTTAATGTGCATCTCTTGCTAAGATGCCCAGGCCAAGCAGTAGCAGCAACCAGTCTTAGCTCACAGCCCACACCTCCAAATCTAGCACAAGTAGCAGCCATTTACCGATTGCTTTATAGCTCATGCCAGTGGCCCTGGGCAAACACAGGTAGTGGCTGATCTTGTCCTGTACCTCCTGGGAGACCTCAGAGCCAGTGCACCCAATGGACAGCTTCAGACCACAGTGAAGCATCACCCAACCCCAAACACCTCCACATACAAGAGGTATTCAAGAGGTATTCTCAGTGGGCACCAAAGCCACACTACAATAAGTCCTGTCCTATGGGGTGAGCTGATTCTCCACGGTTATACTCCACTGTGGTCCAACATTGGAGGTGGGTGGATGCAGCCAATCCTTGCAGCTGATCAGTTCAGGGGTAAATGCCTCCCACTGGCATGCCAACAGCAATCTAGGCCCACGGGGAACATACCTTGAGAGCCCAGAGGGGAAGGTGATCAGCTAGCCTGTGTCACTGGGCCCTACAGAATATTGATATTAAGCCACTCTACCAAGTCCGGAAAATATTGCAGCTCTACCTAATACATAGAAACAAACACAGGGAGGCTTCCAAAGAGAGGAGACAAAAAACATGCCCCAATGGAAGAACAGAACAAGCTCCAGAAAAAATAAATAAATAAACATGGAGACAAGCAATTTACTACATGCAGAGTTCAAAACACTATTTATAAGTATGTTCAATGACATAGTGGAAACTTCAACAGCACACACACAAAAAAAAAGACAAAAATGCAACACACACTAACTAAAATGAAGAATAATTTACAGAAAAATCAACAGGACAATAAATAAAACCATGAAACAAATCAGTGACTTGGAATATAAGAAAGCCAAAAAAAAAAAAAAAAAAAAATCAGAACAGTAAAAAGAAAAAAGAACAAAAATGAAGATATTTTAAGAGCTTCTGAGTCAACTTCAAGTATACCAACATTTGCATCATGGTGTGCCAGAAGGAGAAGAGAGCAAGAAATTCAAAGCCTATCTGTAAAAATACTGAAAGAAAACTTCCTTAATTTGGTGAAAGAAACAGGCATACAAGACCAGGAAGCACAGAGAGTTCCAAACAAAATGAACCCAAAGAGGCCCACACCAAAACACATCATAATGAAAATGCCAAAGAATAAAGACAAAGACGGTCTGCAGACTGAAAGGTCCCGGGTTCGATTCTTGGTTGTGGGCACATTCCCAGTAGGGGATGTGCAAGAGGCAGCTGGTCAATATTGCTCTCTCATCGATGTTTCTAGCTCTCTATCTCTCTCCAAATCAATAAAATAATTTAAAAAAAGAAGAAGAAGAAAGACAAAGAATTTTAAGAGCAGGAAGAGAAAAGCAGTTAGTTACCTATAGGGAGTTCCCAAAAGACTGTCAGCTGATTTCTCAAAAGAAACCTTACAGGCCAGAAGGGAGTGGCTAGAAACACTCCAAGTGATGAAAAGCAAGGACCTACAACCAAGATCACTCTAGCTTATAAAGCTATCATTTAGAATCAATGGACATATAAAGAGCTTCCCGGACAAGAAAAAGGTAAAAGAGTTCATCACCATACAACCAGATTATATGAAATATTGAAAGAAGGAAGGAAAGAAGGAAGGAAGGAAGGAAGGAGATAAGGAGAAAGGGATGGGAGAAAGGAAAGGAGGAAGAGAGAAAGGGATGAAGAGATAAAGGAGAAAAAAGAGGAGGAGGAGGAGGAGGGAGAAGAAATTAAGACAAAAATATGTGAATAAAATGGCAATAAATACATATCTATCAACAATTGAATCTAAAGTAAGCAAACAAACAAAATGGAAACAGATTCACTGATACAGAGAAATATATACTAGAGGCCCGGTGCATAAAATTCATGCACAGGGGAGGGGGATCCCTCAGCCCAGCCTGCATCCTCTCCAATCTGGGACCCCTCGAGGGATGTCCGACTGCCTGTTTAGACCCGATCCCGGTGGGACATCCCTCTCACAATACAGGACTGCTGGCTCCCAACGGCTCACCTGCCTACCTTTCTAACTGCCCCTAACCGCTTCTGCCCACCAGCCTGATCACTCCTAACCACTCCCCTGCTAGCCTGATTGATGCCTAACTGCTCCCCTGACAGCCTGTTTGCCCCAACTGTCCTCCCCTGCAGGCTTGGTCACATCTAACTGCCCTCCCCTGCAGGCTTGATCGCCCCCAACTGCCCTCCCTTGTAGGTCTGGTCCCTCCCAACTGCCCTCACTTGCTGGCCAACTTGTAGCAGCCATTTGTGTCCACATGGGGGCAGCCATCTTGTGTGTTGAAGTGATGGTCATTCTGCATATTACTCTTTTATTAGATAGGAGGCCTGGTGCATGGGTGGGGGCCAGCTGGTTTACCCTGAAAGATGTCCTGGATCAGGGTGGGGGTTCCCTTGGGGTGTGGGGCAGCCTGAGTGAGGGGGCCTGTGGTGGTTTGCAGGCCACCAAACCCCCTGGTAACCCAAGCCCTGGTATCTGGGGCTTATTTATCTTCTTCAATTGAAACTTTGTAGACTTGAGCAGAGGCAAGCCTTCTGCTTGTTCTGTGGCTGCAGCCATTTCTGTTGGGATTTATGTATCTCCTATAATTGAAACTTTGTAGCCTTAAGTGGAGGCCTGGACCAGCTAGGGTGTACAGAAAGCTTGGCTTCCTCCATCACAGGGGGCAACCCTAGACTCCTGCTCTTTTCAGCTCCATGGCTGCTGCCATTTCTGTTTGGATTTATGTATATTGTTGAAACTTTGTAGCCTTGAGTAGAGGCCTAGACTAGCAAGGGCAGGCGGAAAGCTTGGCTTCCTCCATTGTTGGGGAAACCCAAGCCTCCCTCCTGCTCTCTGTGGCCGCAGCCATCTTGGTTGGTTTTACTTGCATATTTGCTCCTGATTGGCTGGTGGGTGTGGCTTGTGAGTCAGGGAAGGTGTGGTCAATTTGCATATTACTCTTTTATTATATAGGAAATATATAGATATATTTTTTAATCTTCACCCGTGTATTTTTTCCACTGATTCCCAGAGAAAGTGGGAGAAAGAGGAGGAGGAGGAGAGAGAGTAAGAGAAACACTAATGAGAGAAAGATACATCAATTGCTTGCCTATACCACACACACTTTCAGGGGTTGGGGAACTTGCAATTAAATGATGTACCCTTGACTCGGAATCGAACCAGTGACTCTTCTGTCTGCAAACTGACACTCTAACCACTGAGAAAAACCAGCCAATGCTACAGAGAATTCTTTGATGGTTGCCAGATGGGAGGGAAGTTGGGGGGACTGGGTGAAAAAAGTGAAGAGATTAAGAAGTACAAATTGGTTGTTACAGACTAGTCATGGGGATATAAACTACAGCATAAGGAATATAGTCAATAATATTCTAACTTTGTGTTACTTATTGGGATGTAACATTTATTGGGATGATCACTTAGTAAGTTATAATGCCTAATCACTGGGGTGTACATATGAAACTAATATAATAATGTACATGTAATTAAAACATTAAAATTATTTAAAATAAAAGGAATAGTTCTTAATGACAAAATAGAAAAAGTTTAGAAAACACTGCATCCAAATTTTAGAGTAAAAATTTACCATATCGTGAAAAGGTTCTTGTTTTGACAGTGCCTCACATTTTTGATACTACAAAATTAATTACTCGGTTGAGATAAATATATATATGATATTGACCTTCTAAAAATCAAATCATAAAGATATATGCATTTTCCTAAATGCAGAACAAAAAGTATACATACCTTTTTTCCAAATCTCTTATTTTCTCTCTAAGTGGTTCAACAATCTAAAATAAAAATAAGCAATATCAGCAAAAATAGTGCCTCACCACTTTCACCTCGTTCTGATGTTCCAGATAATATAACATAATGCAAAACAGATTTAATTCCTCCTACAATTCACTTCCAGTTGGAAATTAAGTTATACCACTTCAATCACAATTCTAGAATCGAGATGATAAACTGCACACTGGAACCCTTACTCCATAGATGCATAAGTCTCTGAGAAAATTAACCTTTTTACTTTCCTATTTTACTGTGAACAATATTAAAGGCAGTTCCAGCTCATAAAAAGTGGCAGCTCAATACCACTGGTGTCTTTCCGGGAACAAAAAATCCCCTAGTTGCTGCCCACAAAAGCGTATTTTCTTGTTTCTGCATGTTATCCCCAGGGCATCAGCTCTAACTCAGAAATCACAGGCCATAAGTCAATCCCTATCTGTGCTAACACCTTGAGCGTGGACAGAGCAACAAGGGCAATCCAAGGGCTTCCCCAGGAATTCAGCATCTGTCTTCAAATGAAAACGAGGAACTCCTCATCCCCTCCCAGGCCCATGTTATAATAGTTATTCATACCTACATTTATTTGACTAAAACATAAGCAATTACTTTACAATATAAGGTATATTATCAACTACAGGAACTAGCTTTCAGTGAGGGAGGTCTGTGATTTCCCTGTCTGCTCCTACAGACACTCTTGTGTTCCCAGAGTCCTAGCATCTCAGGTGGACCTTTTTCCTTTCAGCATCTGCTCAGGTGAGCCGATTCATGTAATCACTTCCCCTTCTCTAGGGATTTCTGGAAAGGCTCACCAGAAAGTCACATAAAGATTTAAACTCATTTTGCCTTTAAGATAGGATGTGTTTCAATGGAGCATGCCTTTGTAAAATGGACAAAAACTGACACAAAGATATATCTTCAGTATAACGAGTATTATAAAGTCTCCTATTAAATAAGGGATTTTTTTTTTTTTAAATCTTCACTCAAGGACATGCTTAGAGAGGGTGGAGGGCAGGAGGAGAGAGAAACAACCATGTGAGAGAGAAACTTTCAGTTGCTTTCTGTACATGCCCCAACTGAGGATTGAACCCACAACCCAGGTACATGCCTTGAGACTAGGAATCGAACTAGCAACCTTTCGGTGTACAGGATGACACTCAACCAAATGAGTCACTCCAGCTGGGCAGGGGTCATTTTTTTTATAAATAGTCTCAAAATCATAGATCAGCATCAAGTTGCAACCATAAACCAGCACAAGCAAAGGAACTGAAGTAGATACATGTTTAGAAAAAAGTAGAAACAAAATATGGAAGAGACTACTAACCTCTTCAATCTTCCTTTCAAGTTTCATTTCACCATTTTCCTGGATAGACCTGTTGAGTAGAAAACTACAAAACTGAGATCAATTGAAAGGCTTTATGTCTTCAAGAATTATTTCTGAACAAATGTACACAAAATAACCAAAGTTTGAGATCATCTCTTTCTCCTTCCCAAATATCAGTACACTAGAGGCCCAGTGGAGTCCCTCAGCCTGGCCAGCAATCAGGGTGGGGGGTACACGGCTGGCCCTGGGAAGACCACGGGAGATTGGCCAGCAGGGGGAGGGAGTGAGGGAGGTTGGCTATGGGAGCACACTGACCACCAGGGAGCATCTCCTGCATTGAACATCTGCCCCCTGTAATCAGTGTGCATCATAGCAACCGGTCAACTTATCGATTGGGCTTTTAGGCACACACACACACACACACACACACACACACACACACACACAGGACCGGTGCATGAAGTTCATGCACGTGGAGAGAGGGGGTGTCTATTAGCCCAGCCTGCACCCTCTCCAATATGAGACCCTTCAAGGGATGTCTGACAGCCTGTTTAGGCAGCTGGACATCCCTCTCACAATCTAGGACTGCTGGCTCCCAACTGCTTGCTTTCCTGCCTGCCCCTAACCGCTTCTGCATGCCAGCCTGATCACCCCCTAAAACACTCCCCTGCCAGCCTGATTGATGCCTAACTGCTCCCCTGCCACCCCAATTGTCCCTAATTGCCCTCCCCTGCTGGCCTGGTCACCTCCAACTGTCCTCCTCTGCAGGCCTGGTTGCCCCCAACTACCATCCCCGGTCACTCCTTACTGCCCTCCCTTGCCAGCCTAGTTGTCCCTAACTGCCCTCCCCTGCCAACTTAATTGTCACCAACTACCCTTCCCTGCAGGCCTGGTCCCCCCCCCCCCCAAATGCCCTTCCCTATAGGCCTGGTCTCCCTCAAATGTTCTCCCCTACAAGTCCGGTCACCCCCAACCTCCCTCCCCTGCTGGCCTGGTCATCCCTAACTGGCATCCCCTGCAGGCCCGGTCGCCCTCAACTGCCCTCCCCTGCTGGCCTGATTCCCTCTAACTACCCTCACTTATAGACCTGGTCCTTCTAACAGCCCTCCCCTGCTGGCCTGATCGCCCACAAATGCCCTCCCCTGCTGGCCATCTTGTGGAGGCTATCTTGTGTGTTGGATTAATAGTCAATTTGCATATTACTCTTTTATTAGATAGGATGTGCTAATTCCCTCCTGAGGTGGTGCAGTAGAGAAAAATAAATCAACCAGGAGAGTAAATCTAAATCCATCTCACACACTCACTACTGCCTTAGCATTGTTTCTATTAAATAAAATAATCTCACTTTCACATTATACCCAACAAGGGATTTTAAAGCAGGAGGTGTGCCTCTACAGGAGTACAAGCCTGACTGCTGGGCTTTCCTGGGGATTTAATACCAAATGGAGTTTTTCCAAGGAAATAAACAGAACTCCTTTAAATGGGAGCGGAACACCCCACACACAGAAGGCTTTGTCCAGAAACACACAAGTCCTGGTGGCAGGAATTAGCTCAACAAGGACCCGCCTTGCAAAAGCAACCCAATATGAAAAGCCTGGTGGGGGCAACAGCAGCATTAAACTTCCAAACCCAGTTCAATCACCACGTCATGATAGCTTTCTTTATTTAGTTATACTACCAAGAAAAACAACATGGAGTGATTTTTTTTTTTTAAATAAAACTGTACTAACTCTGTACTAACTGCACCAAATTTGTTTTTACAATGAACACTTATTATATTTTGACGACTTTTTTAAAATTAATACAAGGATTTCACTTTTATAAGTGTCCTTCCTGTCCAAGTTAGCAACACAAATAATGCCCAGTGAGGCCAGAAGATTCCCGGGAAGGACAGATAGTCCCAGCATCCACGGGGCCTGATCCCTGAGGCAGGGACCAGCTGCATTACTCGAGAAAACCCACAGAGGACAAGACACAGCACGGATGTGTGAACAGCAAAATACTCGACTTCATTTTTAAAATTAAATCCAATTAAGCCATGATATCAATGGTGTATATGTAACAACTGAAATGTGTCCACAAAACTCAAATTATTAAAATCAATTACCTCATATTAACGTAGTTGCCCCAAACAGCTGTAAGGGAAAGAAGAAGAAAAGGTCAATATTTAGTTCATGACATTCATGAATATCAATAAATACAATTTTAATTTTTAACCAATGTTTTAAAGTTCACTAAGTAACTAAGTTATAGCTCATGATGACATTATAATGCACACTTTTAAAATATTAAGTCCAACTAAAAAGTAAGTGCAACCCTAATTGGTTTGGCTCAGTGGATAGAGCATTGGCCTGTGAACTGAAGGGTCCACCGTTCGATTCCGGACAAGGGCACATGCCTGGGTTGCAGGCTCGATTCCCAGTGGGGGACTTACAGGAGGCAGCCAATCAATGATTCTCTCTCATCATTGATGTTTCTATCTCTCTCTCTGAAATCAAAAACAGACTTTTAAAAATAAGTGAAAACATGATCCTACATATCCCTCTAATTTCAGAATATCTTATTTGGGGTTCGGCACTCAATAGTGCAGAGCCAGTCACAAGAATCAAATACCACATGCCTGAAAGACACAAAGAGCTCAGCCCAAACACTTCCTTTAAGCATTGATGAGAACAAAATCCGGAGAAGTTAAGCAATGGCCTGAAGAGTGTGCCTTAATTTCAACTAGAATTATCCATCTTTCTCAGCACCTATCCATCCCATCTCATTCAGACTTCAGTGTCTGGGCTACTGGGCTGCCTCCTTGATTAAAGATACTTGCAGAGAGAGTTACCATGTCTACAACCTATGGTCAGCAAATGTGCATTAATCAGTGGGGTACAACAGCCAAATTTCACCATGGATAACTTTGAGAAATAATACTAGGCCACGAACAAGCACTTCAAGTTACTGAACAGAGGGTTACATCATACAGAAACCTTCACCATGAATGAGTGGTCCTTATTTGGTCACTCCCTAAATGCTGAACAACTCACAGGGGCCACATGCTTCCAGATGTCTGAAAAAGGAGAGCAAATAGCACCTTCCCCAACCTGAGAAAGCCTTGAGGTTAAAAGCTAATCCTACGCATCATCTCGTTGCTACTCTCTGGTACCAAGTGGGGCCTTAATTAACATTTACTGAATAGAATTGTGTCCAAAACCATGCCCCTATTAAGAAACACACATTGCTAACACATGGACCAGTAGTTTTATGGCCAGATAAGTTTCTATTGAACGAGTATAAAAAAAAAATCCTATCTAATAAAGAGGGAATATGCTAATTGACCATCATAAAGATAGCTGTATCCACAGCTGAGGCCAAGTTCCCATAAGGAGCCTTAATGAGCAATCAGCAGGGACCTAAGGCTACGCCCTCCCCATCCTTGTGGGGCTTGATAGGGAACCTCAGGCCGTGCCCCCCATCCCAGTGCCAGGCCAGGGAACCTGAAGCCATGACCCCCCGCTCAGTGGGGCTTGAGGACAGACCTCAAGATATGCTTCCTGTCTTGGTGCTGGGCTAGGGAACCTCCGGCCACTCCCTCACTAAGTGGGGCTTGACAGGAGACTTCAGGCCACGCCCCTGACCTGGGCACCAGGCCAGGGGACCTCAAGGTGCACCCCAGTGCTAGGTCGGGGGAACTCAGGCCATGCCCCCCCACCCAGCAGGGCTTGATGGAGGACCTCAAGGGACACCCCCTACCCAGGTCTGGGCTGGGTGACCTCAGGCCATGACCTCCGTCCTGGTGCCTGGCCAGGGGACCTGAAGCTATGCCTCCTGCCTGGCAGGGCTTGACAAGGGTGGGACTGTTCGGGTCTGGATCTAGCCCAATTGGGGGCAAAGGGGTGACCGGGTCTGGGTCTCACATTATTTTGAGGTGCATGTGGGTGGGCGGGATTTGACTCTAGGTCCCATGGTGCACCCTAGACTCTGACAGGGGGAAGATTTTCATATACATTTACTTATTTTCTTTCATCTCTGACACTTCTATTATAGAGAAAGAGTAAATAGCAATTTTAAATTATTTCCTCTAATTAATCCCTTTAATGTGCACAAATTTCATGCACCAGGTCACTAGTCTTTTACATAAATGTTAAAGGCATGCTTTAAAATTAAATACTCATTGCAACTTGAAATTATTTATTACATGTTCTTACAAGCTAATATCTTTTTAAAGTATGATACTTTGTAAAACACTGTGTAACATGAAGCGAGAATTCTCGTGATCCGTTCGCAATGTGTTAAGAAGAGACATGTTAATCCAATCAAATCATATGCTTCTTCAAGTAGAGGAGGAAACTATGACAGAAAAGGGATTAGTAAAATAACTAAATAAAAAGTGGCAGTGTGCAATAAATGGGAGAAATTAAAATGAATCGGTACTAATTCACTATTCCTCAAAAAGCAGAGATTGTTTATATCTTTGGATCATGTGATTTCTTTGGGGAATTATCCTCAAGCCACAAGTATACATACAGGATAGCTCCCTTCACAAATCATGGCCTTATTTATAATTAAAGAATAAAAAGGCAGAGGCATAAACCAAAATATCTGACAATTGGCAAGCTGCTTTCTAAATTATACCACCATCCAGTGAAAACAGAAAGTCATTAAATAGAACCAGAAAACTATGTTGTAACATGAGGATACAATTTATGATAGTGTCAGAGGGAAAAAATATATGTAGTATGACTTCTGCTATTAAAAAACACATGGGCCAAAACCAGTTTGGCTCAGTGAATAGAGCGTCGGCCTGCGGACTGAAGGGTCCCGGGTTTGATTCCAGTCAAGGGCATGTACCTTAGTTGCAGGCATATCCCCAGTGGGGGGTATGCAAGAGGCAGCTGATGGATGACTCTCTCATTGATGTTTCTAACTATCTCTCTCCCTTCCTCTCTGTAAAAAATCAATAAAATTTAAAAAATTAAAATAAAATACACGTGGAAAAATAAGTGTGAAAATGCCAAAACATGAGTTTAAATGGTGAGGTGAAAAGAGACCTCCCACGCCCTGCCTCCCCACCTGGGCTCCAGGAACCAGTGCTTGAGGACCCAGCACTGTGAGTGTAAGCCAGAGGGGCCCCACACCCCTTCCTGCCCAGGTGCCAGGGCCGAACTGAAATTGAGAGTCAGAGGTTCCTAGGGCAGAACGCTGCCTCAGGCGCCTCAGCCCAGGCATGCCAGAGGGCTCTGGAAACTAACAGGAGTCACATACCAGAAGAACTGTGCATGTACCCGCACTGACCCCGAGCATCTGCAGCAAACAGTATCCGGTTTGAACAGCAATTGGGGAGAAAAATGTAAAAAGCAGGAGTTCCCCTGACCTGGCACTGGGGGTGCACCTTGAGGTCCCTTGTCAAGCCCACCAGGCAGTGGGTGTGGTCTTGACCGGAATCAAACCTGGGACCTTTCAGTCCACAGACCAACGCTCTATCCACTGAGCCAAACCAGTTTTGGTTGCCATGGTTTTTTAATCCATTCATGTGCTGATGGGCACTTAGGCTGTTTCCATATCTTAGCTATTGTAAATTGTGCTGCTATGAACATAGGGATGCATATATCCTTTCTGATTGGTGTTTCTGTTTTCTTGGGATATATCCCTAGAAGTGGGATTACTGGGTCAAAATGGAGTTTTGTTTTTAATTTTTTGAGGAAACTTCATACTGCTTTCCATAGAGACTTCACCACTTTGTCCACCAGCAGTGCACAAGGGTTCCTTTTTCTCTGCATCCTCTCCAGCACTTGTCATTTGTTGATAATAGCCATTCTGGTAGGTGTGAGCTGTACCTCATTGTCGTTTTGATTTGCATCTCTTGGATAATTAGTGACTCTGAGCATGTTTTCATATGCCTCTTGGCCTTCTGTACATCCACTTAGGAGAAGTGTCTATTTAGGTCCTTTGCCCATTTTTTGATTGAATTGTTTATCTTCCTTTTGATAAGTTATGAGTTCCCTATAACTTTTGGAGTTTAAACCTTTATCACATGTAACATTGGCAAATATGTTCCCTGCTGCAGTGGGCTTTCTTGTTGTTTTGTTGATGGTTTCTTTGGCTTTTTATTCTGATGTAGTCCCATTTGTTCATTTTTTCCTTAGTTTCCATTGCCCTAGGAGATGTGTTGATAAACATTGCTATAAGATATGTCTGACATTTTGCTGCGTATTTTTGTGGTTTCCCACCTTACATTTAAGTCTTCTACCTATTTTGAGTGTATTTTTTGTGTATGGTGTAAGTTGGTGGTGTAGTTTCATTCTTTTGCATGTATCTGTCAGATTTTCCCTACACCATTTATTGAAGAGACTGTCTTGACTCCATTGTGTTCTTGTGCCAGTACCAGGCTGTTTTGAGGACAAAAAAAAAAAAAAAAAAAAATTTTAAATGCTATCCCAACACTTTTGTCTGTATTAGTCTAACTTAGTTTTCTTATTTTTTTTAATCAATCTTTATTGTTCATATTATTACAAAGGTTCCTCATTTCTTCCCCAATCCACCAGGTTCCCACCCCACCCTCCGCCCCCTTCCCATCCCCCATTGTCCTCATCCATAGGTGCACAGTTTATGTTCAGTCTCTTCCTCCCTCCCTTTCCCCGATAGTAAATCCCTTTTCAGATAGTAAATGAGTTACTTAGCATTTTCTCATATCAATAATACCTCCACATGCCCAAAGATACACTTCACACAAAAGACATTTCCAAATAGATCAACCAACCTCATCCAGGCCCCGCACAAGGCACTCACAGATTAACAAACCAGCGCTAAACTAACTCAACACATCCAGATCTAAGTCTTCATCACTTGATTCAGCAGACCCTCAAGTTCCCTCGAAAGTTTCCAGCCATGTCTGAGAGGCAGCCTTGGGGCGCGGGTAGGCGAGGAGCGAGCTGTTCCGCGCCTGGCTGCTCACGGCCTGGCCTCTGTTGCTCTGGTTCACTCCACAACCAGCTGCTCCGGGTCTGGCCACTGCCGCTCCTGACCTGGTTGCTCCGGGCTTGGCTGCTGCTGCTCTGGGCCTGGCCACACCCAACCCGGCTGCTCTGGGCCCGGCTGCTCCGGGCCCGGCCGCTCCCAGCCTGGCAGCTGCTGCTCCGGGCCTGGC